GATGTACTCATATACATGTACATGTAATTCACTGCTCAATCACATATACAATAATAGTACAGAGTTTTTGGCCATATTCTGGAGCAACTTTACAAATTCATTAAAAGTTCAAATTTGATCGAAATCAGCTCAAACTTTCTACACAACATAAGAACATATATATATATCAGGAAACATTATAAAAGTGAAAAATTCTCTCCTTGTCATTTTTGACAAATTTGGCCAAAACCCCTGTACTATAGTACAGGGGCGTTGGCCTAATTTTGGAGCAACTTTAAAAATTCGTAAAAAAATCCAAATTTGATTGGAATCAGCTCAAACTTTCAACACAACATTAAAACATGTATATGTATCAAGAAAAAATATAAGAGTAGATAATTCCTTCCTTTTCATTTTTGGCAAAATTTGGCCAAACTCACTATACTCTCTACTTGAAATGTCAATCAACAGTAACCATAAAAGTACATGTATTAACATTAAGTGCAATCACATTAAAAAACAACTTAAATACATCAGAAGATTTGTACATACAGTTACTGTACCTCTGGATTGGCTTAACGTAGAGATCCTCCTTCTTCCCAGGGACAAAGTTAGGTCCCATGATACGAGCCTTTAGACCAGTAGCCACTGTACCACTGAACACACGACCAAAAGCATAGAACCGACCCTTGTCTGTGGTGGGGACCATCTTACTAATGTACATCATCAGAGGAGCCTAAAGAGTAAAGGTATAAATTAATGCAAAATAATAGTGGCTACAAATACATGCATATACATGTGTATATGCACATGTACTACACTATGAGAAAATGTGTCATAAATGATGCAGGAAATATTAAGAAAGTAGTGTCTTTGCATGAATTCTTCCAATAGGGTGCATGTGCGTATATACATCTACATGATTGGGCATTAACAATCTAATTGTAAAATAAATGAACGCACAGTACACATAAAAAAGGTATAAAAAAGCTCACTTTAATACTAATTTTAAAGGTGGTAGTACTGTATTTTTTAACGACCTGGGGGCGTAGCCCCCAGGTCGTTCCTATAATTGAATTCACCCACGTGCGATGTTTGTATATATATTTGTATGTCCACACTTACATTTCTTCTATACATGTTGTATTGGAGAAATAACAAGCCTTAGCAACCACCCGCCCACACCCCTATACGTGAGTGGGTGTGGTCACGGCAAACAAAATGGCGGCTTACACAAGCGACAAAGTGAAGAGCTTTCTAACAGCAAGAGAGCATACAGATACTGTCTAAGGACTTTTCTAGAAGCATTATAAGGTAGAGAGAACCCCTATAACTCTTAATAGTGACCAAGTTGTACTTGCAAGGTGGTGAAATCAATTATAGGAATATTTTTTACCCTGTTACGCTTGTTTAAAATTGACATAAAATGAAATGATAACTATGTACATGTACATGCACATATAAACATATTGCTACTAGTATTAGTAGCATGATCTACACATGTAAATGTCATGTGTACATGTTCTACATGTACACATGCATAATGTAAAGTACATGAATTATTACTTACTGAGGGATCACAGTTCTTAATGCCAACAGCGCAGGCGTCATCATGAGGTCCCTCATACAACATCTCCATACGATACTTCTGGGCAGTGA